GTCCTGTCATGTCCCCCCTACTCTGTTACCTCTTCTGCTCCTCCGCTCCCTGTCACGCTAGTAAAACAGCCTGTTTTAAAAGATTTATTTCTGGAAAAACAGCATAATATCTATATTTTATTTCAAAGTACTTTTGTTCCTTTGTTTTAGAATCATTCGCTGAACACCTACTATGTTGAGGGGGCTTGGGCCATATACTGTGACAATGTGACAGAGAGACCGCTGCCCTGCAGCATGTTTGTGTTCTGTGCCTATGTCACACCGGGACGCAGGTCATAAAGAAAATCCTGCCCTTCACAGAAATCAGTAACGCAGATTCATTCTTTGGGCCGCAGTTCAACCAGTAGTTGGGGAAAGAAACTGGCAATTACAAAATCATTTCCACTCCCTTCCGTCCTTGCTTCTAGATCTTCATGACTTTGGCAATGAGCTGACATGACAAGAAGTTCCTTGCCAGACAGATCTGAAGGTTGTTGATCAGGGACGGTTTCACAGAAGAGGGTGGTATTTAGCTAAAACTTCCAGCTACAATTTTCTCAGAAAGAAAACAAAATGTGCACCCTAGCAAGAACAAAGATATAGTGTAACTAGTGTAACAAAAGGCTCAAGAAGGCCAGATCGCAGATCCCTGATGGGGAGGGAGGAATGGTGAACCTTGAGACTTAAGAATTACCTTGGTAGCAGACCCTGAAGGGCTTTAACTGGCACGCTGTGAGGACTTGGTTCAATGTCTCTAGCGGTATTTACTTATGGTATTTTACAGTAATCTATATATGCACATGCTTTAACATGGTTCCTCGGAGGTATTTTTAGTACACAGTACCATGATTATTTGGAGGTTTTCTAAAAGTATATCCATTTGCTCAACATTTATTGAGTTTCTGTGTTCTTTAGAGGCAGTGCTTCTGGGTATGTAGAGCAGTAAATGCATTCCTTGCACTTGTGGTCATGTGCAGAGCGCACTGGAGGGAAGGGGATTAGAAGTGCAGAATACAGTAGGAACTTGAGAGCAAAGATGATCTGAGTGTGACTGTTGAACATGGACAGGAGTGAGGGCATTCTAGAGATAATCTCACAGACCTGGTGATCAGACATGAGGATAGAGCTTGAGGGAAGTGTAAGAACGCTGGCAGAGTGAGAGGTTAGATAATTGGTTAAAAAGAGGGAGAGGGATGGATATACTAAGCGAAGAGGACCTAGGAAACAGTGAGGGAAAAATTGTGAGTTCAACCACGAGCACAGTTTTGAAATATCTGGTGGGTAGTTCTAATGCTTAGGAAAGGGACCATGGGTAAGTATATCTGTAAACGGTTTACAGGTAACAACCTGAGCTTTCCATATCCTACCCCAACAGAAGGTGAGGAAGTAAGAGAGCAGTGGGGACATTATGAGAGTATCAGAGTACATTGGAAAGCTGTAGCCATGTATTTGCGATGTTAGGAATACTACACATGGTCTCACACATAATAGATAATTCTTTTATCACGGAGCTGTTTCCAATTTTACAAAACAGAGAAACTATAACTAAACTTAACTATAAAAGAATTTTTCATTTTTCGTGGGGGTAAGGCAGCTATTGAAAACAAGAGATGGCAGTAGCGATGCTGGAAGAAAAGTAAGCGCTGTGTAGAGTGTGAGACGTGGGTGTATTTGTAGTTGAGGATAGAGAAGAGAGCATTTGATGCCCACAGGCTATGAAAAGGATAGGCTTTAAAGCAAAAGTGGGTGAGTTTATTTTATGAGCCAAGGCAAAATATTAATAAACTTGATTAATGTAAAAAATTGAAGGTAAATATAAGTAGAGCTGAGGAAATACCAGGGTCTCAGGGATGTTGGTAGATTATTGTCATTTGTAGTGAAGAAACTATAATAAGTTGCAAGAACTAAGAATAGACACCACCTATGGCTTTACTGACTGAAGAGTGCTACCTACCTATAAGGATGCAAGCTTCTAAATCATTAGGTTTGGGTACAACCAGTAGCCTTATATACTGTTTTGTAGGGAGACCCTTCAGAATAAATAGAAAATGGCCAGAAGTATGAGTAACTGTTTGTCAAAACGAATGAGGGACATGATGGTGTCCTTATTTATTTCCATTTATAAGCATGGAATGGAAATAGTTGTATTGTTATCCACTATCTTGGCTCTTGTACATCTATAACTAAATACCATAGGTGGTGTAATGTATAAAGAATAAAAGTTTATTTAGCTCATATTCCTGGAAGGTACAAGCTCAAAGGACTACATCTTTTGAGACTTTCTTGCTGGTAGAGACAGTGCGGAGTCCAAAAGCATTGCGTGTCAAGCAAGTCAAGACAAGAGAGATGTATAAAGAAGACCTGGCTTTTATGAGAGGTTCATCCATGAGATTAATTTATGAATCCAATCAAGAAAACAGCACTCATGACCTACTCTCCTCTTAGAGATCCTGTGATCCTACTTCTAAAACCGCACAGTGGGAATTAGATGCAAAGTGAATTTTGTTGGGGTTCATTCAAGCCATAACTTCCAGGTTGAATATTCAAGAAGCAAAGCCTGGAAAATTGGGGAGCATCAAAGAATTGATGA